CGTCTTCGCTCAAAATCGTTTTTTGTATACAATGATAGGTATAATATCATTGGATTCAAATTTAATTCCATCCATTACAGTAACCTACTGTACAGCAGAGCGACATACACGACTTACCCGCTTTTTTTTTTTACTTCTATAAGTACCCATATGAATAAAAGCAATTTAAGGGCCTATTTAAGTGAACAATTCCAATGATTTTAGTACATAAATACGTGCATATTTTGATAATTTATAGTGCATAATATACTTTTGGGCCCTAGACTAATAAGTAATAAAAATATAATATTATAAGGTACATACTATATAATTTAATATAACACATAGATACCTTATTTTATATTAATTGTCGGATGTCAGCAGCCGCGCTATTCGTTGGAAATACAAAATATACGATGACAATACTACGATTTAGAAAATTTTAGTGAAATGTTCCTACGCGAGTGGTTCAAAAATACACTATTTATGCATGATTAAAAAAATATCTGTAGAGACGGATGCCACCAACCGGTGCCAAGGAAAAAAGTAAAAATGACTACGCCTCAGGGGCCACAATAACATTTTACATAACATACCAATATACAATATTATACACTAATTTTACGAGTATACCTGGGTTGATTGACGCTGTGRAATAAGGTATAACTGGTGAGCTCTTATAAAGTCCCACCGCGGTAATAGTCTATACCACATTACCTATGTGGCCATGCGTCTATAATATATTGGACAGACGGACAGACAGCCGACAGGCGACAGCTTTCACGCCAAATGCACATCGCGCGTCACGTGGATAACTACAAGGCTACAACTTTAAAGAATGCTACAGTGCTACAYACATATTTATTTACTGTTGTCTACACCTTACAAGTACGTAACATAACAAATTGACGTTTAGCAGATCATGTTTAATTCCGTTAGTTTAAAAATTAGAGTAAATTAACCTAGTATAAAACTTGATGGTAAGAACATCATCTGTGTTTGTAAGTGGGTTTTTACGATAACTTAGTTTTTAAGTGAGTTATGAGCATTTTTAATTTAAGCCTTTTTATATATCTACGCATGAGTTATGTGTAGCAAGTTGCTACAAAATTTAAATATCGTAAAAATGTTTTTAACATCAAGTTTCAATAGTTTCATAACTAATCAATTCACTCTAATATTTAAACTAACGGAGCTAAGTGTGACCTGCTAAACGTAAATTTGATATGTTATGCACTTGTAAGACTGAGACAACAAATGGTTGTGTAGCGTCCTCTTAATAGTTTTTGCGGGGGTAAGAAGCACATAAATTAATATTATAATAAAATAAAAAGGACATCACACTCGCATGTGTTTCTACGGTTGAATACTTAGACTCACATTTTTTTTTAGGGAGGGAGTGAAATTATTGAGGGTTAATATTGCCCCCCTCCAAAAAAAAACATAATAGGTACATCTCATGTAAAATAAATTCTTTAAAATTAAGGGGAGAGGGATAATTAAAGTAATTAAAGGGTAAAATGTAAGAACTTTATTTAATTTATTTTTATTTTTAAAATTAAATGCCAAAACGCACTTGTTGTGAATTACTATAAGTAGAATATAAATAAAAAATGTACAATAATAAAGGTTGCAACAAAAATCAAGTATAATGAAATAGAATAGAAAATATATCACTTATTTACTCAATCTTTCAATGCTAAATTTCAAAAACCACAAAACTTTCAAATTCGCAATTTAGAATTATTATGATTTCTCTATAATGATCTATACGTGCGATAAGAGGATTTTAAAGAGATTAGGTTAGATTTATTTTTATTTTGTACAAACTCAAATCGGCTTATGACCTATACAAGAAAAAAGTGTGGAGATAGCTGAATGCTGATTGATGTAAAAACCAGTATTACATTAAATGAAAAATTAACATTTTAGTACAGCGTTTGTGTGTTTACAAACAAGTCAAAGGTTAGATGAATAGTAGATTCATAGATCTTTAATATAGTGGAGGCACAAAGAAGCAACATTTTGTTGATATTATAATAGAATTATCTGTTTTTTCACGGTGTTTTACAATATTTAAAAAACACTTCTAGCCAAAGAATATGTTGCTAATTTTGAGTTTGATAATAAGTAGTCAAAAAAGAATATTAAAAATATTAAGACCAAAATAATTTATTTTTTTTAATTCTACTAAATTAACTAGACACAATGAATATTTATTAAAGTATGTTAATAATTGGTTTTACTCAAGGTACATCATTATTTTCAAAACAAAATGTAATATGTTTAAAACTGTTTAAAATGAGATTAAACAAACATAATATTTAAATTTAAATATAATAAGCTATTAAAGCCACATAAACAATATCTGCAAAAACATAGTCTCAAATTATACAAGCAACAATAAAATTCTAATTTATATATATAACAGAACATACCAAAAAAAAAAAAAAAAAAAAAAATGAAATCAATAATAATTATTAAAAAAAAAAATACTTAAAAAAATGTTCATAACGATAAAAATTGAAATTTATAATGGGACAATACATTATATGAATGTTATCTCTAAACCGAAGGTTTAAGTCTTAATTTTACTTTCTATAAAAATATTAGGTATTCATATTATTATGTTTGTATTTTTATATAAAATGTAGCAATGAAACATAATAAGTACACTTTGAAAAATAAACTGATCAGTGTCCCATTKTAATAACATAACCTGATCAATAAGGTTAAATAATATGTAATATAAATGAAAAAAAATCACCAAAATGAGATTGCTTGTAAACAGTAGAAAATTATCGATAATAATGACTTGTAATAATTTACACATAACTCAATAGTAAATGATTAGATTAAATCACTGGTTTTGAATAAAATTTAAAAATTATAAAATAAAAATGAAAATGACCAAAATGTATTAACATCAGTCTTATTTTGTTTTAATGTTGTCTGCAAGTTAAACAATCAATTTAGTAGGATGGTGAATCATAAAAATGTAAAGTATGTTAATATTGTTTATAATATTACACCCAGTATAAAAGATAATAGAAACAAATAAAGGAATATGTTTACATTAAAATTTCAATGAAAAAATAATTTCAATAAATTAATAGAAAAACACAACGATAAAACAAAAGCAAGATAATATAATGTTAATAAACGGAAAAGTAAAAAATCAATGATACGCATGTTTTGTACCTAAATTAATAACATTAATTAAATACATTCAAATATATTTAATTATTAATTAATGATTAACATTTAAAAAAATATACTCATATAGATACAGGTATAAATATAAATACAGGTATTGAATAATATACATAATCAACTAGAAAAATATACTCATATAGATATAATATGATTTCATAGACATAGTCAATTATTAGCGTTAGAAAATGTTTGCCAAAAATAAGTAGAAATAGTTGGATATAATGATAATCCCAATAGTTTTGTTTTAGGATTATGCAAGTTCCCATATTATTATTCATTATAAATGTAATAAAATAAGATTTCTAAATAATTATTCTTACCAACTATATAATGGACCATGCATTTTAACATGTTTTACTGTATTAGTATATTAAATTTGACTGTATAAACCATGTATTATGTATAGAATTTATTTTATTAAAATTGCTTACGTTATGAAACAATTTAATTTTAACAAAAGATATAAGATAAATAATAAATAATACATGAGTATGTATAATAGTCAAATTAAAAATAGAAATTAATTTAAACATAAACCATACTAAAACAAAAAATAAATAAATTTGATAATGTAAAATTATCTCAAAACAATTAAATGAAGGTTACATGTAATGTAAAATTATTAGACATTTAAAAAAATATATCACAAACAGACCATGAAAAATATGCTATTATGATAAATGCAGTGATGAAAATCATATGTACAAACAAAATAACTTATTAAGTCTACCACTACCAGTCAGAATTATTTGGCCGCATTAGTAGAAAATTACATTATACAGACAAATTGTTTATCTTCTATCATAGCAGTACAATAATAATTTTTTGAATAAAATAACAATAATAATGAATAGTTAATAGTATGTATTTAATAACATATCTYAAATTCAAAGCTTAATATACTTTAAAAATCTAATATACAATTAGACAATTACTTATCAACCATCATTAAAAAATAATAATAATAACCAACAGTAGAAGTTATAAAATTATTAATAATTAAAAAGAATTAAAATTGTTCAATACATTATAACATAAAATAAKAACAGGAAGTGAAGTCGAATCCATCACCAAAATGCAATTTTAGCCCAAACAAATAATTTACTTGGGGAGCAATATACTATAAATGTTGAAACTAAACATCTGAATACGGAATTTGTATAAAATATTGTAGTTTTAAAATCCGAAATCAATTGTAATTTTTAAAAAATAAAAAATTCATCACAATAGCTGAAACTCATTGTACTATTAAAAAAAACACCATACTGTCACCTGTGCACATTAGACAAGTTGTACCAGCGTGTAGTCTCTGAATTCAGATCAATATCATGGAGTTCTATGATAATGCCACCCAAAAACTCATTTTCTTGTAATGAGTCATGACTCCACACAGTAGCTTGCAAAATTTTATACCTAACCACATCCAATGGCATTCTATACTCTAACTGAAAATATGCAAAATACATTTTTTAATATTAAATAACTACTGGAATAAAATAAGTAACCTAWACATTAAAAAAAAATTAAGTAGACTAAATTTAACATCCAATGGTAAATTTAGAAAAACATAATTTCATATAGTCAATTCACAATTTTAGTGAGTATTAAGCTAAAATAATAGTAACAATTTATTTTTATATCATGATAAATTATAATTAATAAATCAAATGAAAATTTATATAAAACTATAAATCAATTATTGTTGAAATTTCAATATTTTTTGGCAGTTTGTGGAAGTGTTGATTGTGTATACTTTATTAATTTTTCTAAATACCTACTTTTATCTTAGATCTCACTAAATTTAAAAGAAGTAAGGTATGATATTTTTTCTATATTACCCATTGGAGACACTAAGACTAGACATCTTACCATTTCCATGAATGATGGATAGCAATTTTTTTTAACGACTTTTGTTTTGCGTTTAGTGGCTTTGGAGTGATCAGGTAACAAGTATACTTTTACGTATGTCGATGGTTCCTGATTTCCTGCTATGCGTGGCAAGTCTTTGGCATGATGTACCATAATCTAAGTAAAAGCAATACATTATTTTTAGTTAAAAATGGGTATTAATATTATAGTTTTAATATAGTAGAATTTACAAAATAATTTACYCTCACTTGACATAAGTGCAAACCTAATTGTACAAAATTTTCACAGAGTACAACAATTAAAATAGCTAGGTGTCCCTCTTAACTCAGGACAATGACTTAAAGGTACAATTGCCAAACAATTGCTATTTTGGTATGGGAAATCTACAAAAATCTAAATCGATACCTCTAAATTTGAAAATTTAAATGTACATGACATTAATATGCCCCATCATCTTATATGGATCAGAAACTTGTACACCAAGAAAGATAGAGGAAATACGATTAGACACATTTAAAAGAAAAGTCCTAACACAAATCTATGGTCCCTATTTCGACTCAAGAACCAGAGAATGGAGAATTCGAACCAATGAGGAACTTTTGAACATGTTCCAAAGACCATGTTTATCAAGGGAAGTCGCAAAAAGAAGACTGATATGGACCAGATACGTCTGGAGAAAAAAAGGACACAATGATAAATTCAGTAATTAAAGAGGAACGGGAAGGAAAAAGACCATTAGGCAGACCAAAACTTAGATGGGAAGACTGTGTGAAGGGAAAAGTTAAGGAAGTAAACTCAGGAACAAATTGAAGAGAAGTGGCAGAAAATAGGGAGAGATGGCGGGAAATTTATTGTACGGGATGATCTTAAAGGCCGGAAAAACCCCCTCAAAAACAAAAATAATATATATATATATATATTATAAATATTATTACTCACCATGAATGCTCCACGCTGATAATGTAATGTCAATTTTAATTGACCTAATATACGATTTTCTCTGACATAACCTTGTTGCTTTGGTTCTACAAATACAATAATTATTAATAGACAATAAATTATAATCAGATAATTTGTTGCCAACAATCTTAATTCTTCAATTAACTTAAGAGGACGTCGCACTCGCATATGTTTTCTCTGTCTTATATGCATACGATATAGCAAATTGTACGCTCAGCAAAACACGTGTAGCTCCGTTAGTTTAAAAATTATAGTGAATTTACCTCTTATAAAATCTACAAGGCAAGATTATTATCTAGACAACCTCATAAGCTTTTTGTTATATTTTAATTTTAAAGCRAGTTAWGACTATTTCAAGATGTAYAAACAATTTACAATGTTAAAATGCTCATAACTCACTTTAAAATWAAAATATAATAAAAAGCCTATGAGGTTGTCTAGATAACAATCTTGCCTTTAGATTTTATAAGAGGTAAATTAACTCCAATTCTTAAACTAACGGAGCTACACGTGTTCTGCTGAGCGTACAATTTGATATGTCGTACGCATGTAAGACGGAGACAACATATGGGGGTGAGACGTCCACTTAAGTCATAAAATAGAATAAACTTTATCTAAAATCTTTTACTTCTTTATGTATTCCATTATTATGATGAAATCAAGATATTTACCTTTTAGTTTAGTATCTTCGATACTAGCTTCTTGCTGGTCTCTTAGAAGAGGATGGAAAAAAGTATATACTAAATCTGAATGGCTTACTTCAGGTGCCATTTGAAATAATGTATTCAAAAAATTTTGTATTTCCACGCGTCTTTTCTCTGCTACTTGCTTAATATGTGATCGTCCCATATGAATACTAGTGTTCAATAAACTATAAAAAGACCATTGATTTATTATGTTATGCTACATTGAAAATGTAATATTCAATGTCATAATAAATAAATTCACCTTAAAAATTTTGCTAATGGAAATAATAGTAGTAGTTTTTGTTGGAATTCAGATAATTCTTTATAAGACCTAAACAGATATGAAGGATCCCTTTGGTTTTCCCGAAAAACTTTTAAAATATACACATAATATTTTTCAGGATCATATCGCTTTTGGCATCCATACACTTCAACACAAACAATCTTTCCTTCTTGTGCCATCCTATGGCAATCATAAAACCATAACATTGATCAAATATAAGCTTTTAAAAGCTTAAATATTAACCAATAAAATTACTTACGTGTACACTTTTGGAACAAAACTTAACAATTCGGTACCATTTTGTTCATTATTAAATCTCATTTGAGCCAAGTTATGTAAGAAGAAATTAAACTGAGTAAAACGAGATTTTATTGAATTTTCAATCATTCGAGCAAAAGAAGCGGCTGCTTCTGGATTAGACAGTTCTGGGAGAAGAGCTTTCTGTACATAATTCACAGCATCCATTGTAACCCCAGGTATCCCAGATGATGCCATCTATAAAATGTTGAATTATAATTTATCGCTTTAATTTTTATTAATTATTTGTTGTCAATACTCAATAGAATAATAATATATTACCAATCCAAATAAATTCAACAGTAAATTTCCATGTTTGCGAACAATATTAAATGCCTGAACGCATGTATCGACAAAATGTTGAAACTTTGTAGATGGTTTATCGCCACCATTTATCACATATACCATATCAGAAGTCAAAACAAACGGGGTGCGATCTCTGTAAAAAAAAAATTATAAATAGAAAAAAAAATGCAAATGTATACATAAATATAAAATATATATAATAAAACCTTTTGAAGTTCCCAAATGTTTGTGCATCTCCTAAAAATTTGCCAAAATCAATGTGAAACAGATGCCCAGTAGTCTTCATCATTATGTTATCATTGTGACGATCACATATTCCAAGAATATATGTAGCAACACTATATCCAGCACATGATGCTAAGACATGTAATAACTAGTTAATAAATTTTAAATAATGACCAACTTTATTATGCTTTTTACCTGTAAAATTTGCAACTGCTCTTTCGTATTCCAGAGCAGATGGATTGTGTTTAGCCAACCATTCAGCTATAGGTCTATCTTTAAATGAACCAGTTAATCCTAATTCAATTTGTATTTTTCTTAAAGTTTCTGCATTTGTGACCATTTCAATCATACCTGAAATTTTAATAGAAGTAATTGTAAAATAATAAAACATCAAAAAAATTATTTTTTAAACATAATAATCATATAGTTGTAATACCTCTCTTTTCACCAGTTGGAACACAAGCAAATGTTACCATTTTTAGGTCCAGCCCTTCTTTTAGCCATAATTTGTCCATTAACCTTATAATCTGAATGGTTAACATATCTTGTTGTAGATCATCGCCTACCTGTAAAAAAAATAGTAAATAATATTACCATGTAGATAACATATTATATTGCATTGATATAATTAAATATAGTATACTCTATTCGGAATGATATCGTACCTCGGCGGCCGACTTCTGCGCATGGGCGTGGCTTCGTTCCGCAGTGATAGTCTGAAATAAATCTAATCTGGGGGAAGCGTCTGACCCTTTGCAGACCAAAAACTGGTTGACGCCAAGGTATGATCTCATTCCGAATAGAGTATAGGTTCTACTATATTTAAGTAGGACAAGAAGAAACAAATAACAATAAGAAACCAATTTTTGATTTTTGTGAGCAAAACATACACAAGCCAAATTTTGTACATAAAATTAAAATAGTAGGCATAGCAATAGACATTTTATCCATAAGTAATTTTATCACAATGTAGTTTATATATATATATTATATATATAATATATACTAGGGAATAGTAAGCGGGTGGCTGTATTACTTGACCCAGGCTCAAAATGTATCTTATTTCAGTTTTGCTTCAGTTGAAATGAATATTAAAACACAATCACAAAAGTTAATATTTATGAATTTATTTAAAAAAAAACCAAAGACAGTTTCAACTAATACTTAAGAGGACGCTACACCCGCATGTGTTGTCTCCGTCTTACAAGTGCGTAACATTGCAAAAACTGTTTCGCACGGGAAAGAACCAAGAAAGCTACAGTTATAACTCAGAAACGGAATTTTCACCACATAAAAAGAAGAATTTTGTCACGGCAATAGCGTTTTTATTTTTTCGATAACAGAACTACAAAAAAAAGTTATTCATGCTTAAAAAACATAAAATTAATGTATTATAAAACAATAAGAATTTTTTTTGTATAAGTGATATCGAAAAAATAAAAACGATATTGCACAGACAAAATTCTCCTTTTTATGTGGTGAAAATTTTGTTTCTTAGTTATAACTGTAGCTTTCTCGGTTCTTTCCCGCRCGAAACAGTTTCTGCAATGTTACGCCCTTGTAAGACGGAGACAACACATACGGGTGTAGCATCCTCTTAAATCCAATGTTAATCTAATGTAATAAACATTAGAATTCGTTTTAATGAGTTAACATCAAAGATAATATGTAAAAGTAATAAATTAAATTTTGTTCGTAAATATTTTATTTTAAGATTTCTTTAGAAAAAATACATTTGTAGACTTTTGAATATGCTATATTTATACAAATTATAATGAGTAGTAATATATTAAGTAGACAAAAAGATACCTAATAGCAACCTATAAGTGTAAAGTTAATAAGCTATAATAATCTTCAGTCTCAAATATTTCATTGATATAACTTTTATTAATTATTGAAAACAATTCTATATTTTATAAATCTATAATGTATAAAGAAACAAAGAAACAAAGAAATAATATATATACGAGTAAATGTATAGAAAATAAATATACATGTCTAAATTATGGTAAAACATTTGGTACAGCCTATAGGCAGGGCCTCCACAGGTGGATTGTTGGAGTTGGAGTTCAGGGACTTAACCATTTTAGAGGCCCATAGAAGTGAATTTGTTAGAGATTTTAAAATTTAGATGGAATACTTATTTTATAGAGCCCGCAAAAGCATTTAGTATAGTGGTCTAAAATTTGATGATGTGGGTTTGCCTATAGATCTTTGAACATATATTATGGATGCAGCCACAGCGTATTACACCAATACAAAAGAATGAAGCCAATATTAGCGATGAGTCATTGAATTAAGTGTTCAATATGTTCATGCGCAATATAATTTGTCCCTTATTTACCCATATGTTATATTGTTATATTTTGACCTTGGATACAGCCTATGGATAATTATACGTCGTAATAAATCGCACATACGCATATCGAACAGGTTAGGTACCTAACCTCGCTAATATCCGCTTCAAAATAATACGCTGTAACTCCATCCATAGTTAATTATCTAAGCTAAAGAGTTATCTTATGARCAATGGTAGATAAACTATAGATATCCAAAAGTGATAAAAATGAGATTGGTAAATCTACCTAGTGGATTTCCATTTTATTTTAATATTTTGAATTGACAATTTTAGTTAAATAGATATAAGAAATAAAAATGAAATACAATATTGCACAAGAAAATTAATTATATATTTCAATAATTTGCATTTTAGACTTTTTGTCCAACTTTTTTGAAAATTGTTGTTTTGTTAGACTTTTAATGTATTTGACTTTATATCCAGCATTGTATTAAATCATATTATATTGATATATTGTATCTTTTAGTTATTAACAAAAAGTTAGAAATTTCTATAATTTGATTTTGATTAATTCTATATTTCTATTAAATAGTAAATGCTATCTATATAATATATTTATACATTATTTAATTATGATTTTATTAATATTGGAGAAGATTCTTACCTTAAAAATAGCCGAAATTGAAACATTTGGTTCCAAGCAATTAAAATTGATTTTTAGTGGTAAAGTATTGGAAGGAAAATAATAACATGATTTTATTTGAATGCCACACACTTGCATACTTGGACTAAGTGGTAGACAAGTAGGAATATCCCTTAAACTTTGGTCAATATTAGTTAAATCTTGGATCAGTACTTTAAGTCTGTGAGATTCTTTGCTGACTTTAACATTTTCTGCAGTGTCATATAATTCCTGCAAACAAAAAGATAAGTATTTAAGATATTCATTATAATAATAAGTTTTATAATTCATTTATACCTTCATTAAAAGCTGTTGAGACAAAAAACACTTTCTAAGTGCTTCACCACAAGTTGCAATTAATGCCCTCAACAACAATTGCAATCTTCTATAATAACGTGACTCGCTCACTGTTTTATCATCAGGACTATGAATGTCGTAAGAATTCTAAGTTATCAAAATATATAATTTAAATTTTTAAACATATTTTATTTAAAACTTGAATTTGATGTACTAGCAGAAATAATTAACAGTACAATGTACAAAAAATAAAAATTTAATTTTCATTTAAAACAAACCTGAGGTGATTGTCCAGGAAGTGGCTGAATGAGAAACCAATAAAGATTGTGTGCAATAGTAGGTGATGACAGAGCTTTTTCTAATAAAAACTCAGCCAATGGAGAATTATCATATGTTTCATGCTTTATGGCCTGAACCAGTTCAGGAAGAAAATCAATTAGTTGATCATTACTCAGTAATCGTATTCGCTTAACAGCCAAACGACGTACTTCATTGTCAGGAAAACTAAATGGAATTAGAAAATATATTTTAATAAATCAACAATTTTGATTATTCTTTAATACTAACCATGGTAAGAATAACTGTAATGCATCTAAAGGTTCAATGGGTGACCAAGAATTGAGCATTGAATGTAGATCGGCCAAACATGCATAGTCCCAACTATGAGCAGCCAACAATACCTTAGGTAAGGCAATAGGTTTTGATAAAAGATAGTATCTCTTTTCCCACAAAACTTCCCTATCCTCCGACAAAGGTCTATAGATAATAATAAACATAATAAATTATTTATTATTATCATTTTTAAACCATAGTAATCTTAATTTATGTAAAATAATTTAAACAAATTACCTAGTAAAAGTATCTTGATAAATTATATGCAATAATTGTTCTTGAGTATTTAAATCTAAACTTGTAAAATCAAAACTTTCACTATTAATTATACGATTATCTTTAAATTCTGGAGGAAATAATATTTTAAARTCAAACTCTTGAATTTCAATACCTAGAAAGAGAGGAATTATATCACTGAATTCTATTAGATAATAATGTAGTTTTTGAAGTATCTATACGTACTGAGAACCGGGTGTGAATGACTGTATGGGTGTGTACCAGGTGCTGGTGCTGGACCAAGACGTTTATCAGCACATGGAGGCCAAAGTGATAACAAATGTTTTCCTTGAGAAAACTCTCTAAAATATATTTKACAATTACATACTTAGATTTTTATACTACATGATTAATTAAATAACCGACCCTTCAACATTGAAAAACTGTATGGAACCCCATCCAAGTTCTGTTTGAGAAACTGTAGCTGATGTATCTTGTACTTCTGTATTAAATGTTCTGCCATAAACGACTAAAACCAATCGGCTCTCTCTTGGTAACAAACATAAACTCATATTTTCAAATTCCAGCCTAAAAATCAATTATACTTGCAATTTTTTAAAATAAAACAGCAATAATTATTTTTTAAATAAAATTTACCATGACTCAAAAACTACACGTTTATAAATTGAATGTTCAGCTATAACAGCTTTAGAAAGCACAGTGTTACCAATTGGTCTAGTACCGTGATATATTTGAGCAGCAATTAAATATTCATCATGACTCCATGAAGAAAATAATCGATGCAAACAGCTAGCATATATCAAAACATTATCTGGTATTTTTGAAGAAAATTTTGATCCTGTAAAATATAAATGTAATAAATTATCATTTTGTGTTTGCATAATTGTATTTCTATAATTAGCTATAATTGTTATACAAAAACCTAATAAAATAAAAATAATAATTTTAATCAACTTAGAATGACTACCAAACCATCAGGTTAGATTTATATTATACCTGTTAATTGTGAAGAATTAAAATTTAACTGAAAATCAACTTTGAAAGCTTTACAATAATTTTCAATTAATGTTTGCACGTTTTCTTTAATTTTTAAGCACACATCAGTAATATGATCTAATTTTTCAGTCTCATTGAATTTCAACCTCACAACTGAATAATCTGAACCATCATCAGAGATCACTTCAGTTCGAGAACCATACACATCCTAATAAAAAACGAAAATTTATAAGTATGTTATATTAAACAACTTATAGGTTTTTTATTTAATATCAAGTACCTGTATGACATTTGAAATTTCATTACACGAGGTAACAAAGTTATTTAATGTCAAAGTAATGTCCATTGGTTCAATATTTCCTAAGAAAGCAATCAATGCTTTCACAGCTTGTTGAACACCAGTAGCTTGTAAAGGTGTTTTAGTTCGCTTTTTAAAAAGAGAAACAGTATGGTCTTGAATTTTWAGCATTTCACCATCAAGCGTATCTAAAATTTAATGAATAATTAAATTAAATGTAAATTTGTAGTATTTTATCTAAGTATGATGGTTTTTAGTTTTTACCAAGAAGAATTTTCAATGTATCATGTGTGATCGGTTGAGATGGTTCATTGGGACACAAATCACTCAACTCTAATTCATTATCACGAACGTCGTCTTGAGCCTAAATGCAATGGAATAAAATATATAGTTTAAAGAATGTGTTTTTTACAAACAGTCTAGACAATTTTACCTGTCGAGCATAAATACGAACAACATCGTCCTTATGGAGAAGAGCAAGTTCAACATCTTTGTCAAGTTTAATACACTCATGAACACATTCAAAATTAATGACTGGAGTATTCATTGKCAGCATATATTCAGAAAACTGTTTTACTTTTAGAAAATAATCACTAGGATGTGCATCTTCCAGATCTAATTCACAAATCACATGTGATATGACGTGTTCAACACTACTCCCAACTAAYCAAAAACAAATACAAAGTTATCCATAGTTTAGGTAAAATATGCAATTATATAGATGAAAAATGTAAGAAGCATACCATCACAAGTAAATATAATTGGTGTTTTCCTAGTTGGTTCGCAGTGAACTATAAATTTAGTACTTGTGTTTTGATGCAGATTGTTTTCAAATTTTGAACACACTACTATCCCTTCATTTGTGCTTAGATCAGAATAAATAAATGTTCCTTGAATTTAAAACATATAAGAATTTCAATTATTTACAAATTATATTCATGCTAAATCATGATTAAGTAATAAAATGTACGCACTTCTAACTTTCTTGACCATTGTATGAAATGCTACWATGTCAGGATCATAAAACACAGATGGTCTTTTTACTAGACCAACATTTTCATATGATAAACTTTTGCATGCCTAAAATATATTTAACATACAATTAAATTAAAAAAATATATTAAAACTAAAATAAACGTTAATAAGTATTTACTTTTGATTCTTTTGGAGTCAAAGAACTCCTAGGTGGTAATGGCGGAGGTGAATTTATGGGTGTCTTTATAACAGCGGCATAAATTGGGTCTGATAATTGAGACGATATTGATGGAGAATACATGTAATCAAACGGGTCATATGTGGCATATAACGACTCGTTTTTATCTTCAATAAAATTTAAAATATTAATATTAATAAATAATTATACGTCTGAAATATTTAAATAATAATACCTTGGTCAAATTCAGCAGAAGAACTTATATGTGATTGTCCGAAGAGAAGTGGATCAAAATCTTCAAGAACACTTGTCCTAACATTTGAACATTTTTCCTTAGGATTTTCAATACTATCAAAAAAGTTTAAATCAATGAGATTATTGTTGTTTTGTTTTTTTATGACACTTGGAACAAAAATGTCTGGTTTTATCCCAACTAGTGAATTCTGTGTTTGTATATTATTTGTGCTACTTGTTAATTGTTGAGTTTGAGTTACACTACTTGTAGACCAGCTACTGATAGTTTGCCCTTGCCAGAAGGTTTGAGGAGGAACTGTCATTTGGTGACCAGTAGGATATCCAGTAAAATTGTTTGAAGAGAAATAACCTTGGTATAATACATCTAAGTTTTGTTTAAGATCATGTGACCCACTAAATTGATTTTGGTTTAAATTAACATTTGGCGTGTTTGCAGTAACACATAGATTCTGGAATGTTGAGTTATTATCACTTGTGTGAGGCTTTTTATTCCTATAACACAAAAGAGTTAGTCAGCAATAAACAGATTTCTTTTATATCCACTATGGTTTATAATTACATTATTACAGACTAAATCAGAATGTATTTATTCCATAGTAGCGGCGAGATTCATACCACATTATCACACCTCAAGCTATTCTCAAATATCTGTCCAGTAATTCATCATTTTTGTATTGTTTGAACACAAAGGATTAAATAGAGAAGAACAAAAAGAAAATCAATTAACATTAGGCTGTACAAAAGTATTATCTAGATAAATTAGTTGGAAAAATGAAGATACAAATAGGATTTTTTGGATGTTCAAAACCAACCATTATGTAATMAGAAATTAATTAATAATTTTAATAGCATAGAATAACGAGGTGTAGACATTTTGTGATTTCTCAAACCGCACTAAAATATTTTTAATTTAATATTCATCATATTCAAATTCAATTTACAAAGATAACTATAAAAATATTCAGTAATTTTTTACCCATCTAAAAAATTAAATGGTTCCAAATTGTTCATGAGATCATTAATTGGTGGTGAGTCAAGGCTAAATAAATCTTTGATTGAATCATTAGTACTACTTTTTGGAATGACTGTAGTATTTCGGCGTGGAGGTGGTTTTATACGTGGTAATAATGGTTCACCTGTAGAATTGAAAAATTAAAATTAATCACACTTTAATAACTTGCATAAAAATAAAATGATTGAGCCAGAGCAATTGTAGTACCTGTGTTGAATGAGCCCGGTCTGGGCCGTGATCTAGATAAGTCATTAGAGTTAACTGTTTTTTCTAAAAATCAAATTAATTAAAAATTAATTTTCAATATATCATTAATGAAAAGTGTCATGTGTTATTGATTTTTTTCTAAACTCATATTTATTTTTAACTGTTGTATAATTTTTAGAGTTAGCGCTATAAAATTAATAGCTTATTAAAAATAATTACTCTAATCTGTATAAAATATACCAAATAGAATGTCATAATTAATATTAATAATAATATTAATTACTATGATAACTTCACACTTATCAAACTAAAATGAATGTATTTCAAAATTACCAGAATTTTTTTTTAATATTTTCAGCAAAATATTCTGCTTAAACATTTTTAATTAAAAAAATATATGATTAAAATAGTTATTATTGGTAGACAAACCTATAAGAGACATTGAACGTGTCTGAATTGTAGATGTTGATACTGCAGATTTTTCATTACATGTCGAAGATTCAGATTTCAACTTTTGATTTCGAAATTCTTCAAGAGCCAAAGTTTCCAAACTTAGAGCTTGGGCTTTTTCAAGATCTTCTTGGTACCTTCTGTCATAATCTGGTTTATCTGTAGACTTCATGTTGTGAAGTTTAAAACACTAAAATTTAGAAAATAACAAAGACAAATATTTAATGAAATAATACATGAATTATTATATAAATTACAATAACATGGTACTACGGCTACACAAATGATTGATTTCAAGAGACTATTATCCAAGCTATTTTCCCAAAAATACTTAGCAGTACTTTTAAATGTAAACAAGAATAGATCAGATTATAATTTTAAACTCAACCTGCTGCAATGAATTTCAAAATAAAACATACAAAATTGAGTAATATTATAGTTATTAAACTTAACTTCATAGTAAAATTAACACAAGTAGAACAGATAATTAAAAATTGTTTATGGTTGTCAGAGTACAATATATACTTTTTTAATATATATAAAATATGTCATTAAAAATAAGGTCCCAGTGCAAAAATCCATAAACTTTATTAACACAGCTGTGAATGCAGACATATTGTATGTAATTTATTAAATATTAAATATGATACATAACTTAAAGGAACAAATTTACCATATTTGAATAGATGGTTGCAAAATTGAATGAAAAATGATGCACCAAGAAAAAATTTTTAAAACATAACTTTTATTTTTATATTTTATAGGTCATACATTAAATTACTAGACTATGAAATTAAAATTAACCTTAATTTATAATTAGATACTAAATTCTATCATAGGTAACCTAAAATATGTAGAAACCCCATACTATAATTAGTTACCAAATAGTTCCTAATAGCTCATAACCACCAAATTCATTCTATGATTATGATAGAAGGATACTCAGCTGTTTAAATCAGATTTTAAATTATTGAAGGTAATAAACTGATTGCGCAATTTTTGTTATTTAGATTCTAAACAATCTAAGCCAATGCCAAAATAATTAACTATATCCTACCAAGAACCAAATATGAATAATTAACAGCTAAATTATAAAAAAAAAAAACAGAATTAGATACATATAACAGAATAATTGTTCAACATTAGCCAGCAAATATTTTTAAATTTAACTTTAGTTTTTCAGACATTAGGACATTTTCTTTGATTTTAAATAATTTTAAATTTCTTTTTATTTACTATAATGAGTATTTAGAATTAATATTTCATAAATGACCGCTTATGATTTTAGTTTAATATTCCAAGATGGAATATTGTTTTAAAAATATTAATGTAACATAATTAATGTAAATATAAAATATTGAACCAATAGTGAATCATTTACATACACAATACACTAAAGATTAGATAGTTGAATAATGTACCAAATTAAGTTGTATTAGTATAAAAAATATTAAGAAACAATAACAATTTATCAAAATTAGTTTTTCTTTCAAAATTATTTACAAATTCTTCTCATGTATAATCAATAATAACTATATCAGTAAGAAGAATATTATTGTAATAGACTTCAATATAAGAATATTGATCAATAACTCACTGTAATTATAGGTATTTGAGTAATTCAAACATTTTATTAGATTACAATATTCAGCTGATTAATATTCTTATTTTCATTAATCAACCATCAAAGTAAATTTAACATATAAATGCCTAACAAAATAAAAAATAATCTAATTCTTCACAGCATGTTATATCAGTAGTATTCATATTCATAATTTAATTCCAATGATAGTGAGAAAATTCAGAAAAATGTATAGTTATTTTTTTTTAATTTACGTAATTACTACAATTTAACTACATAACAATTAAGTCAATATTAGCATAGGCAAAAGGGTAACACTTAACCAGTAAAACTAATAGTTAAATATTTGATCATATTAAAACATTGGTAATTATTTAGTAATAATAAATTGGTATGCGTAATGTGTACAATTAAAAGAAAATATATATAGCAGTGGCGCAACCAAGGGGGRTGTTTTGGGTATCTGGAACCCCCCTTGAACCATATAATAGGAAATTTATACTTAATTATATTCAATAACCATTGAAAAAAAATGATCAATCTTTTTTTTAATCTAAATCTAGTGTTATAATTTATAACTGATAAATGATACTATGTATTCAGAAATAATTATGGTGGTGGTTTGATTCAAATTGTTTGAATAAAATAATATAATAGATAAATATTTAATAGTAGTCATGACGACTGTCACTTATACATATAGTATACTAACAAATTTGGAAATGAATTGGGGAAATACTGTATACGCTACTGGCGGACACCCCCCTTGAAAAAATCATAGTTGCGCCACTGATCTATAGTCTATAGGTACCTAGTACCTACCAGTGTTTCTAATTAAAATTTTTTTTGTTTTTGATTTTTAATCAACAATATTACAGTTAAAGCCAAGGAATTATGYACTACCTACCACAATTTCTACAAGTTCTTCCAACAAAGTAAAAGAAAAGAAAAAAGTGCAAATATAAATATATTATTCAAAAACATTTRTATTTTTTATTTACAATGAATATGAATGGATTAATTAAAGAAAGAATATAAAGCCATTAAATAATACACCATGGTGTATTAAAGACGGCATTTTATTTTGAAGTGCAGAACATTGATGTGTAAGTACTTGGAAACATATAATTATGTCGAAAACAATGTTTTAGATATAAATGATGAGCATAAAAAATAATCAAGTGGTAAGCACAATGTGAGGTCTTCACTTACTTTTTCTGTTTAAAAAATATGTGCGGACAGCGAATATGACGTGGTTGTGTGTTCGGTCAATTCTACTAAACAATTAGACAGTGAAAATCATGATTGCTCAACGTCCAATACGCAAATCGATGCCAATAAAATACAAGCGTTTCGTAGTAAATTTGTAATAATTAATAACAATAAAAAAAGGAAAAAAATATCTCAACACTAAAAAATAAAAAAAATTTAACACGAAAATACCTATATTTGAGTATATTTAATATTATCAATATAATTTATTATTATGTTCGTGAATAATTGTTATCATTGTAGTAGTTGCTGAAGTGAGTAACGGTTATCAGTTGTTATT